GTCATGGAGGTGTTAGCATTTTGTTAGGTGCTAAGAAGATGAGTAAAATCATATATAGTTCATTCCCTAAGAAATTTATAGCTTAGAGGGAGAAGACGCATCTATCAATGACAAATAATAAACATAAAAATACAATTGAAAAGAAGAAACTGGCTAGAAAGTGTAAAACACTTCAACTAGCTTTGAGGGATGCAAATACTTTTTCACTAAAGTAATGAAATTTGATTTGAGATCTTAAGAATGATTAACCAGGTAAAAAGGATAAAGGGGAAGTAGAGTGAGGTTTTGCAGAGCTTCATAAGGAAGAACATTCTGGGCAGTCAAGATAGCATGTGCAAAGGCCCTGTTGGACAATAGAACATGAATTTTTCAAAGAACTGAAAGAAGGCAATTTAGCTAGATGTCTGAGCAAGGTTGAGAAGGCTGTGATGTGAGTCTGCAGATGACAAAGAAGCAAATGAGGTAGAAACTTGTAACCCACAGCAAAGGTTTCAGTCTTTTTTCTGAGGACAATGAGAAATCCCTGAAAGTTTTAAATAACAGTGACATGATTAGATTTGCATTTTGAAAAGATCAATCTGGATGAAAAACTGTTGGGGATAAAAAGACATTCAAAATCTATTGCACTCAGCACATGCTTGACAGGAATTGTTACAAGGATTTGATTGCTCTCTTCTTTGTTCTTATGATCGCTCCCCAACATCTTTCTCTATACTAACACAATTCCATTACTTTGTTCAGGATCTAGTTAAATATATTCACCATATTTACTTTAAAATTTACAATCCATATTCATCATGTTCCCACGTCGAACGATTTCTGCATTTGCAAGACACATACAATGTGATAAAATTAATTTAATTATCTGCTTTATATATTATTTTCTCAAAGCAAACTTTGCTTCTTAAAGCCAAGGGTGTGCATATGGGTTTTAGAACAAAAATGATTGTTCTAGATAAATTATTTTTCAGCGTGTGTTTCCTCCTACTATCAGCAGCTGAGTTCTCCAGTTTATAAACTATCTTTTACAAGCATTGTAACAGTAAAATAATCTGAATATAAAGAAAGACATTGCAAATGTTTATTTATAGCAGGTGTGTAATCAGCCAGTGTAATCAGTAGATACGTAAAATTGGCACTGTCTAGTGTTAGTCGCTAACCTTTGCATAACATTTTGTGTAAAAGGACACTTTGTGTATGACTACTTATAAAAACTGTCTCAAGCATTTAAGAAGTTTTTAACTCGTATATAATGTTTTTGAGGAAAAAAGTTCTAATGACTACACTTAAATTGAAAAATGCAATAAATATTTCTAATATTAAAAAACTTAGAATTCAAATTCAATTAAATATTAAGAGAATATGTTAAATTTCACCTGCTTATATTTAAATAGTATTAAAATCAATTAAATAACCAATATAGAGATACATTTTTAATGAGGATTTTTACAATATAGAAATTGTGATTTAAAAAATATTCTGAATAATTTAATAGATAGATTCTGACTTTTTAGGAATTTCTAAATAATGTGAGTCAAAATGCAGTATTTTTTTCACACAGGGGTTAACAGTCTCCTATTTTATATCAAAGACAGGAAGCCGAGAATAAAAAGGGATTCTCTCTTTCTACCATGGTACAAAAGATGTGCCAAAACAACTGGAAATGTATAAGAAAGTAAATTAAATTACAGCCAGGTTGTCTATAATCTTCATAAAGCTTTAAGAAATCACATTAGCAGGCTTAATATTTCCTGATACCACTCATGTTTAATTTTTAATCTCTTAATTATATATGCACAATTTAAACACGCAGTAAATAAAAGTTGTTCCTTTTCGGAAAATGATATACAAATATGCATTATTTGAGATCAAATAAGGTAATACAGGTAAAGTACAATTCAGTGCATGATCTAATCAATATTAATTTCCTTCTCACTCTTAAGAAAAAGGAGAATGCTTAGATAGGTTGTGGTACCTGATACTAACAACAATCTCATATAATAATGGCCTATTATTTCATCCATAAAGATGTGCTTCATATTAAGGACTTGCTGGGGTTTGTTGGGGCCGAATATTAGAAAGGGTTTTATTGGGAATAGAAAAACTGAAGAAGAAAGTGATTAATTTACTTGAACCCAAGTGTTTCCCCAAATCATCAAAAACAAAGGTACAGTACTTAAAGCTAGCAATGTATACACATCCCAGAAAGTAACGGTCTTTGGGACCTGACGGAGGAACTGAGTTCTATTGGAAGACATGTAGCTCTCTATGGGAAGACAGCTGGCAGGCAAACCTGAGTTTCTAGCAAGACAGTTTTTAAAAAGGTGAGTATATTCAGGCACTTGACCTGAAAAGCAGAGTTGTTAGTTAAATTGTAACGCACTTGCTTTGTATGAAAAGCCATTCAGCCTGGACAGAAGTAGTGAAAGATTAGATTTGAACTAAAGGAATAAAGTCTCGGACTTGGTTTCAGGCACAAAGTGTGATTATAGGTGATGAAGATATATGCTCTAAAGATTTACCAGAGGAAAAAACTAAGAGAGGTTCCAAGAGGAATCGCTGAGAATGAGAAACAGGATTTTAGAAGAGGCACAATTTAACTTTGTGCTTCTCAAAGCAAAGCAATTTGGTGTCATCATTTTTTTCCTTGGGCTTGTGCAGGTAAGGCACTACATTTTTAGTGTGGATATTTATCTGTGTCCATTGTATTCTTCTCAAAAAGACAGCAATCAACTGAGTAGTGACAGGAAACAGAACTCCAGAAAATTAGCTGTAGCTTGCTAAAAAGTGAATCAGACTTTTAATCGATCGTAAACTGATAATTGATTTTTCAAAACAATAAAAATAATTAAATGCATTTCCTCAAGTATTTGTTAGTTTCATAACAATCAGGATACAGATAGTAAATAGAGCTTTCCTTGAAATCTGCTGGGATATGGCCTTGAAATAAGACTTTCAACTTAAAAAGGGAAACAAAAATGTCAGAAAATTCTCATGTTAAAGTAAGCAAGCAGCATTTAGACACTGAGGAAAAAAAAAAAAAAAGACAAGTGGAAAATATATCAATGTCTGTTGAAAAGTACTTCCTTTCTTTACAATATAAAAGGTTGGATGGGACCAATGTAAATAAAAATTATATTTCTATCTGATAGTGATTTTTTTTTTTGTAGTTTAATAGCTGGCACCTAGGCAAAACAACTTTTGCTTTTTTCTTTCAAGATTACTACCTCTGACTATTCCTATATTTTAATGAATTCCATATCTTCTCAAATAGTTTTAATTGTTATATTATTTGATAGTATTCACAATATTGTTAACAGTCTTCTAGCTTTGTTTCTCTGTACATTGAACTTGGTTCTTTTGTATACTTCTTCAGTTTTATTATGTTTGTGGTCATGACACAGGTAAGATTAAAATTAAACTATGTAATCCAGATGCTAATAAGGGCTTTGAAAAAACACAGAGTAATGGAATAGACAGTGAGGGAAGGAGGAAGATGACTATTCTATTTTAGATAGGCTGGTCAGGAAACGCCTTTCATTGAAAGTAAATTTTGAGCACAGCATATTCAATAAAGCAGGGAGCAAATAATTAGCAAAGACCTGTCTGTCATCTGAGCAGAGGGGATAGCAAATAAAAAGCCTCTGAAGTAGGAACAATCTTGGAATGTTTGAGGCATTCTCAAGGCAGTCAGAATTACTAGAGTGGTTCAAGAAGGCAGAGGGAACAAGGAGATAGAGTTGAAGATGTGGCAGTGCAGGGCACTGCAAGTATGATATAGAATGTGAAACTTATTCTGTATGAGAAAGGCATCAGGGGCTTACAAGTAGGTTAAGGACATAATCTGATCTATGTTTTTAAAAGATACTCTAGCAAGAGTAAAAAGAAGCGGACAAACTAGAGAGTTATTTCAGTGCCCCTGAGATACAATCGTGGTGTGTATGAGGTGGCCTTCAGTATGGATTTAAAAGGAGATTGGTTTTGGAATATATTTGCAATATATTGACACATAAACTTGATAATGGATTATATTTGAAGTGTGTGCATGTGTCGGGGGAGTTAAGAATCAAAGTTGTTTTTTCTTTGAAAAACTGGCTAAATTGGGGGTTCCCTTTATTATAATGAAAAAGCTTGGGAATGGAGCAGGTTGAAGGTGTGGAAAATCATGGATTTTTTTCCAGGCATATGAAGCTGAAATGCCTTTTGAGTATCCATGAGAGGATGATGTACAATGAATTTGATCTATGAATCTAGACAGAATAAGAAATATAAATTGAGGAATCATTAATGTATTAATTGTAATTTTTTCCTAAGATAGAAAAACATCTAAATTATCTAAATTTTATTTTTATCTATACACTGATTATAAAATATTTTTCCAAGTCTTTTAATTTTGAGACTGCACTGTTTTTCTTTCTTTGAAAAAAACAATACTATTTCTTAAACATTAGACAGAAATCTGATTATTATTCATGATTAAATAGGCATAATATACAAAATTCTTAACTAGATTTTTAAAAATGTGAATTATATTCTTTTTCAGTTCTAAAAATTTCTTTCTTTTGCTATTTTCTAACCCCTCTCCTGCCCCCCAAAAAAAGGAAATGAGGAAAATGCATTGGGCCCTCTGATCAAATGCCCTAAGTATAACAAGCACAGTTATTTTTTGCATAGGATAGTGTTTCCAGGAAGATTGATGGTATGCCAATTGAAATAAAGTTAAACATGATGTATATTTATTATTTGCCTGGCTCTGTTAGAATTGGTGGAGGTAATAAGTATTGCAAAGTAGTCTTGATCTCAAGTTTATAAATTTGCAGAGAAAATAAGATATCTATATATAAAACAATATGAGGACAAAAAATATAAATTATAAATATACAAGCACTCTAACTGGTTTAAGAAGAGATAGAACCAACAGTGGTGCTGGCTTTTGAGAAATACAACGATTTCCAGATATATGAACAATAGAATGAGACCCACGTCTGAGCGTGACTTACCAAGTGGTTGGCCTGCAATGACTCTGGCATTTTCTCCAGCCACTGCAGCTCTTGCATGTCGCTCACTCATGTACTGTACAAATGCATACCCTTTGTGAACGGAGCATCCAACTATTTTTCCATACTTTGAAAAAATGGCTTCAATGTCAACTTTCTTGACAATTGCCGTATTTAGATTGCCAATGAAAACACGGGAGTTGATGGACTTGGGGTCATTCTTATTGGTGACATTGCTGGTCTGTGTTTTGCCAGTCATGATTGGCTCTCCTTGTTTTAATCCTTAAACAAACAAACAAAACAAATAATCAAAAGGTAAATCATTAGATTGAATGGGTATCAACGGCTTTTTAAGTTTTTCAATATTACACTCAGGAAACCTCCAATCCCTAAGTATTACTGATTTTCTTGAGAAGAAAATTAATATATTTAGTAATATAAAAGGTAAACATTGCATTGCTAAATACAGTAGAAAAAACTTATAATCACTTAACACATAATTATAAAAATTCTTGATTTGTTTATTCAAAATTCAACTCTGAATAAAGATTGAACATTTTGCAGTTGCTTTTATATTAAGTCTATCTATTTGGCAAAAGAAAATTTGAGGAAAATCTGCCTTTTCTTATCAACAACAACAAAAAAATCTAACATGGCTAAGGTCTGATGACAGATGGAATATAGAAATGTAACCTCCATTTTCAGATGTTTGAGTACATGCATGATTATTTCTACATTTCTATAACATGTAGACATATTATCTATTTCAATGTCAGAACCCTTCTATCAGAAACTAAAAAATTGTTCCATTAAAGTCTGTGGAAGAGAAAAAAAAATGGTGTTAGAAATTTGATTAGGACACTTAACATAAGAAAACCAGAATTTTAAAAATAAAAGACTTAGCCAGAATTAATATTATATTTGCTATTTATTTGAACCAATATCACTATCACATGTCAGTTTCATAAAAACACAAAACAAAACATATGAGCCAGTGTTCATCAATGATCAGCAAATTAGATTAGGTAACTTGAAATTTTATTCTTAACCTGATTTTCTAATTTACTTAACTAAAGCCTCCTATGTTGCCTAACGACTGCTAGTATTTTTAAAAATATCATTTTGTGAGCTCTGAAGAATATTTTTGTTTAATTAAACTCAACAAAACTTTTATTTCTAAGTATTCCAGCACATACAGATTTATTTTAAGGCCTTGAAAATCCCTCCTTCCTTTCCTCCCTCCCCTCACCTCCCTTCTTCCCTTCCTTCCTTTCCCTCTTTCACAACGTTTAGTAACAACCTAATTTTGGTCATGCATTATCTATTGTACCTATTAATTTATAGATACTATTATGACTAAACTAAAATTTCAACAAGGTTACATTCTCTGACATTGATGATCATTGTTGAACATTAGCTAATTGATACCGTTTGTCAATGACAACTATATTTTTATATGAAGGCTCTCTTAAAATATTACAGCTATAAAAATAAGTGCATCTGATTTTTAAGAATCATTTAAAATGACATTTCTAAATTAAGCATTAAGGTGGTGGAAGTCTTTAAGGCATGTAAATTGGATATGCTTAAAAATGTACTTATTATGCATTTAAAGCAGGTACTCCTGAAATCAAGAGCAACCAAGTAACATAAAATGTTTCAAATTAAGTTGCTCAACATTCCATCTGGGATTTTGAAAGCTTTACTTCATATTGGACGGTCAACATTATAAATATCTCCTTATAATGAAGGTCAGCTTCAAAAATAAAACATTTAGTTATTTACATAAAATTAAGAGTAAGACATCATTGGAAACAAAGATTACAACACTGCCTTGTATTGATTCAGATTAGCTACATTTAAGTGCTTCTTTTATGAATTATTCATAGTAGTGTTGAAGAAAGAAACATTGATATATATATATATATTTTAAATATTGCAATTCAAGCTATTGCGTATCTCAAGACAAATGCTCTGAGAATTAATTGAAACAAGAAAAATCAAGGTTGGTAATCTAGAGTCAGTTTCCTTTCTTACCATTCTAGGCCAACATCAGTAATACATTTCATAGAAAGCATACTATTTTGTTTGTGCTCTCATGTGGCACACATTTTTATAAACACAATGTAGTTGTTTTCAAGGGTGAACAATTCTTATGGTTGACATTTTATTTCCTGGACAAAAATACATTAATTAAAATGCAAACACAAGAATTGTTAGATTAGATTAGACCTGTGGTTGACAAAGCCCTGTGGTCTGCATTGATAGTAGCACTTGGTCAAATTTAAGTTGAGGGTACAACTGCACTGTGATTCCTCATCGTGAATGTCAACATGCTATCTTTCATCCACATCATTCACTCTATGTGGATGAAACTCATACCTGTACCTCCAAATTGACAATGTGTAATTCTAATTAATAATTCTTACTTACCATAAAAAATCTATACATATCTATGTATCTAATTTTTTTCACAAACACTGACTTGGCAGTTTCAATCAGTGTTTACAAGAGTAAGTCTTGTTGTATTATTATATTCTGTCATTCCAACATTCTCTATAAATTAGGCAATAATTCATAGTTTAATAACTTTTCTATTACATAAATTTTTAAATCAGTTAAAGAAAGACTTCCACTTTCAGCCATGATAGAGTAACAGTGACTAAATTAACCCTCCTGACTCAAAGAAATAGAAAACCAGGGAAATATGGATGAAGCAACTGTTTTTCAGACATTAAACCACAGGCAATGCAGAACTATCACATCTGAGAAAGAAGAGACAAAGAAAGTAAAATGTAGGAGAGCCAAGATTTCTGCCTGGAAAACATATTTCAGGTCTAGAGCAGTCAGTGGGATGGGGAGGATATTGCAAACTGAGACTGTGACCCTATTGAGTTGAGGAGATACAGATCGGAGTTGAGAGCATCTGGGGCAGTTAGAATTGGTGTGACAGGTTTCTCAAGACAAGAGAGCTATGCAGAAAAAAACTCTAGAAATCTGCTTTAAAATCCTTTGAACCTATGCTGATTTCTAAGTCATGTATGGAAAGAGTACAATCTCATGAGGCTCGGCAAAAAGTTATTGCAAAGCTGCAAACGGAATGATTCCAAGAACTGCAATAGGCCAAGAAACATACAAGTTCCTACCAGCAACAGTGGAGAGTCCAAATTCACTACCCGGAGAATTAAATTTAGGCCTCAAAAGGATGGGCCTTAGTAATGTGGATTAACGATTCCTATAGGTAAAGGAATTCTGTGTCTACCCAAGTTAAACTTGAAAACAAGGCTTAAGATGATCAAACCCAGAACAACCCAAATGTCTATCAAAGAAAAGTATAACACTTATCTAAAATCAGTAACAAGGCCAACCGTGGTGATTCATGCCTTTAATCCCAGCACTTTGGGAGGCCAAGGGGGGCAGAGGGCTTGAGGTCAGGAGTTTAAGACCAGCCTGGCCAACATGGTGAAACTCCATCTCTACTAAAAATATAAAAAAAAAAAAATTGCCAGGCATAGTGGTGCACACCTGTAATCTAAGCTACTTGGAAGGATGAGGCAGGAGAATCTCTTGAAGCTGGAAGGTGGAGGTTGCAGTGAGCCAAGAGGAAAAAATATAGAACTCAGACATTCAATCACATAAAATTCACTATTTCCCCATTAAATCAAAAATTCCTACAGATCTTATGAATCAAAGTATGACTCATGACTAGAAGAGAAATTAAAGACATAAAAAAATGAAACTTTTAAAGATACAAACTATAATATCTAAAATAAAAAAAGATAATGAATGGTCATAAAACCATAGAACAAATTTGTGAATTTGAAGTTGAAGAAATAGAGAATATGTAAAATGTAGTGTAGAGATAAAACACTGAAACAATACACAGAGCCTCAGTGAGTTGATATTTAACACCGTCAAGCTGTTAAACATATGTAAATCTGGAGTCCCAGAGGAGCTAGTTGAAAAATATTCAAGAAACTTAATGGTCAAAATATTCCAAATTTAATAAAAATGATAATCTCATGGATCCAAGAATATCAATAAACCTCAAGCAGAAAATACATATCTCCATACCAGACACATAATAATAAAATTACTGAAAACCAGTGATAAAAATTAGGGAGCTGTCAGGCATTGGAAGGAACATTTTGACACAAAAAGAGTTTATAACAGTTAAAGAAATGTCACAATTAAAAAACAAATGACAAGGGAAAATGAATTTTTTCAGTGCAAACAAACTGTCTCTTTGTTTTTAATTTAGAAGTTTGGATGGAGCTCATGTAAACTGTCTCTCTATGAAAGCTGCTGTAAAATAAAAGATAAACTGTAAGCTACTGTTGCTGTTGTTCCAAAGAATTTTCTATGATGATGGAAAACTTTCCATATCTACAATATCCAAAAATTTAGTCAATAACCATATGTGACTTTTGAACCCTTGAAATCTGGCCAGCAGGATTAAGAAACTGCATTTTTAACTTTACTTAATTAAAATTGAGGCCATGCTTTAATGAATTGCTCTATCCCAAAAGGCTAACAGGGCTCTTGCCTTCCAAACATATAGAATGAAAATAAATCAGAAATAAATCTAGCTATTTATGTTTCTTTTAAATCTAAAGAATGAGTATGTTTTTGGTCCTGAAAACTTATGAAAGATATGATAGTGTCAGCTCTATTTCAGAAGAATAAAAAGTTCAAGTATCTGCCATATGATAACTAATTTAAAAGATTAAGCGTTTTTATTCTGGAAATATCAGACTGAGGTGGTAAATGCTCTCTAAAATTATAAAGAATGTGATCAGAATAGACTTTTAATTTGAATTTGAGATTTTTACCTTTGAATCCATATATGATACATTTATGATAAATTAAAGGCAGCTCAAAAATGTGCTTTAGATAAAATAATTTTTAGCAAAGTCACCAACCAGTGAACTCTACTATTCTGCTGTTTTAGTGGTCTTGAATTTCCATCTAAAATTTAAAGTCACTTAGACATTTATATTGAAAAAATAATTTAAAAATCAACAACAGGAATAACAAAAAATATCCAGGTGATATGGTTTTGCTCTGTGTCCCCACCCAAATCTCACCTTGAATTGTAATAATCCCTGTGCATTGTGGGAAGGATTCAGTGAGAGGTAACTAAATTATGGGGGTGGGTTTTTTTTTCTCATGCTGTTCTCATGAGAGTGAATAAGTCTCATAAGATCTGATGGTTTTAGTTCCCCTGCACATACCTTGTTTCCTGCTGCCATGTAAGATGTGCCTTAGCTCTTCCTTCACCT